AACCATCAAGAATATAGACATTTCCATACCTTTTTCCTGGGAGGATTATTTTACCTGTCTCATTTTCAATAGAACGACCTATTTTCTTGAAATTTACTTCATACCCTAAGTCACATATCTGACTCATACTCACATGATTTTAGTTAAGTCCATCAACAAGATAAACCTCAGTGATACAGTTATTATTGAAAGGAACTGTTCCGGTACCGACTATTTTTCCTTTTGGGTCATCACCAAATTTGACACTTCCTCCATCTATTTTTGTAACTTTTTTAAATAGGTTTTTGTCACCTATCATGTGACTGGAACACGCACTATCTAAGTACCATTTTCCTTTGCGACTCCTTCTATGGTGTTCCTGCAAAATATAATTATCACTTCCTTTTAGGCACCCAAGCTTGCTTGGGTTATTATTGGTTAGTATTACTAGATTCAAGATTGTTTTTGGGTTTCCAAATCCTCCCCGAGATGTTTGATTTACGAAATCAACAAAAAGAATATTTATGTCCACTTTTCTTATAGTAGTGGCACATAGGTCCTGATCCATTCTTGGATCTTCCATTTGTGTTAGTACTAATGGACTATGTTCTGACTGGTCCTTCTCCAGTTAACTTGTAAGTCACCTGGTTCGACTTGATAGAACTATGACTGGTGGATATGCGTATGTCATTGAGTTGTATTTGCAATTCCTGAAACTCATCTTGAAGTACTTCTTTTTCAATTTCGCATACTTCAAGCTTGAGTTCCCAGTCTTTCTTTTCTCTGTTGAGTCTCTTTAGTTCATTCATCGATTTTTGAGACTCTTTCAAAGTAAGGTCAAGAATATCCTACAATTCATTACATCTTTCACAATTATAAGATTTTACCTCGCTTGTTTTACCTCGTGCCATGAAGCAGTTCTCATTGTTATCTTTGCACTCATCATCCGAAGTGTCCTCATCTATCCAGTACCCCGAGAGTTTGTTCATGTCGTTTTCCAGAATTGTCATGAAGCATAATTTGCTAGCTCTTCGTGTTCTGAACTGTCTTCATCACTCCAACTTCCAAATGATTTGCTTTTGTTAAAACTCTGGAAACCTTTCTTTTAAGATCAGGTCATTCAGCTTGAACATGCTCAAATCTTCCACACTCATACATTTACCAACATTTTTGTCTTGTTCATTATATTGCCTAGTTCGCTTAGGTGGTATCCTGCCTCTTCTTGTATTCTTGTATCTCCTCATTAAACTATCCGTGTTCCTTGATACCATGGCAATTTCTTCTTGAAGAGCTTCAGGGTCGTCATCAATATCATTGTATGCTCTTTCAGTTGTAGCCTTGAAAATAATTATTTTCTTCTTTTCTTCCTGGCTTGTTTTCTTGAGATTAGTTTTCTCGAATTATAAGGTCTCCTCGAAGTTCATCGTATGATAATTTGTTCAAATCTTGTGATTCAAGTGCAACCACTTTTTTCTGCCAAGTGGTGGGTAGACTTCTCAGAATTTTCTTAACTTGATCACCACTTGAGTATGGTTTACCAAAAGCTTTTAGATCGCTAATGATTTTGCTGAATCTGGCAAAAATTTCTTTAACGAATTATCCTTCTTTCATCTGAAAAGGTTCGTAGTCATGAACCAACATGTTGATATGGGTTTCTTTTACTTTACTTCTTCCTTCATAAGTAACTTCAAGTTTATCCCACATCTCTTTGGTTGTATCACAACTGGAGATTTTCTCATATTCTTCTCCACTTATAGCATTATAAAGCAGATTCCTTGCTTTGGGATTAACTTGCACAACTGCCATTTGCTCATCTATATATTCTTCTATATCTTCAGGATCAGCAGATGGTTGAGCAGCAGCAGTTTTCCTTTTTGATAACTCGCCAAACCTTGACATCATAAGACTTTGCGTATATTTCCATACGCACTTTCCAGTGAGAAAAATGTTGTCTATTGAAATACGGTGGCCTCACTTGCGATGTAATTTCTTGGAAGAGTGCTCCGACAATAACTTGATTTGCCATGATCTTTTCTCACAAGCTATTAAGCAAAAGAAAAATGTGAGCGTTGCTCTGATACAAATTGAAAGTATGGGGGGGGGGGTAAATTGCTTATTTTTAACAATTTTTATCAATAGTTGACTAGATTAACAATTAGTCGACTTGAGGTAAGAATAAGATAATAATAGTAAATGCAGGAAGTAAAGACACCGAGATTTTTATACTGGTTCAGATTTAATGTGAATCCTAGTCCAGTCCCTTTGGGTTGCAAGGGTGTTCTCTTTCAGTGATCGTTGTTTCGTGAGTACAAATTGAATGGCATAGTTTTACACCAATAACCTAGTCTTTATATCTCTCTTTCCTTTTCTTGATACAATGCCTCACTGGTATTTATCTCTTTTCCTTCTCTCACTTAGTTACACAATAGATCTAATGAAACTACAATGCTTGTTTGGAGTAGAACAAAACGAGGATAGATAGTTCGATCAAAGTATATTTCTCCAAGTCTAAAGCTGTCATATAAATACTTAGCATGAGGTCTTAGAAACTGAAGAGGTTGCCAACCCAAGAGATTTGATCCTTGGAAGGAATCGAAATTGATTCTTTCCAAGAATAGGGTTAATTCCCGTTACTCTTCCTCGATATGTGGACTTTGACAGCTTTCCATCTCTAAGTCTTGATATCTGCCGGATTTGCTGATTCTCGATAATGTTTTTTTTCGTAAATCCGAGCCCTTCCAGTAATAACTTCTAATTGGTTATCTTTGCCGGATCTTCAGTGCTTCTTTTCCTTTTTAACGTTGATTCCTTCCCTTTGATTTCTTCAATCAATCCCTTTGATTGCTTCAATCAATCTCTGATTGATTTCTTCCTTCAGCTTATCCTCGTTAATTTATGATCTTCTTTTTGCACTTTGATCTTGGTCGATTTCCTTGAGTCCCTACACCAAAAGCAATTATATTATTTTTCATCATTAAAACTAAAACCTAACATTTCTAAGATTTAATCCCTACCAGAATTGTTTGTGATCCAATCAAATATATGTAAGATTTACTTCTGGTTATGGTTTTGTGCAAGTAAGACAATTCTAAACATGATGCCATATAGAAGTTATTGTGAAGTGATATGGTTAAACATTTAAGTGTAATTTGATATCTGCTAATTATTAGAGGGATTCTGTAGTTTAGTTAAACTTTTCCTCACATACGTGTTATGTTCTAAGGATTAGTTGGCTATAATTTATTATTGTATTTTGAGTTCGGTATGAACTATGAAAGTGTTAGATTGTTGTTTTATATTGACTTTGAAGACTTTGATCATTTAATGTAACTATTTTTTGTGGGTGTGATATAATTGAATGGAGAGTGCGAAAGGAAAATGATGCTTCAACTTCTAACTATATTTATATTTCTTTGAATTTTTTTTTCTTTTTTTCATAATGGTGGTATCAGTGTCAGCTTGCATGCATCTCGATTAATTCACCGGGTACTTTACTACCTCCCACCAGTTTAAATATCTGGTAACTCTACTCATCAAGACTTGGTCATATAGGAAAAAATCACCTCATATTTTTTTACATACAAATAACAACAACAACAGCCTAGTGAAATCCCACAAGTGGGGTCTGGGGAGGGTAGTGAGTATGCAAACCTTACCCCTACCCCGAAGGAGTATAGAGGTTGTTTCCGCAAAAAAAAACGAAATGAGACAAATACAATAGTACCATTAACAGAAAACATAGAAATAATAACAACAACAAAAGAATCAGAAAATAGATGAAAAGCAATAACAATAACAAGTAAATAAGGCCTTATACTATGTAAAAGAAAGAATAGTGTGAACACAATATTAACCACTAGCAATATAAGACTAAACCATATCAGACTAGCCTCACACCCGATGCGAAGTAGAACATAAAATCCTCTTCTTGCAACCTGATATGGTTGTAGGCAAATGCATAACTATCAAACTTTTTAAATGTTTTGGTATAGACACCATTGTTTACTTTGATTTGTTTTGTTCTAGGGGATAAGGGGGGAGAATATTGAAATTTATCCCTTCATCTTATAATGTGTGAAAGTACTTTCGGGATATCCCACTAAAAAATTTCAATCAAAAGTGTGAAAATATGAAAATTGTAGTTTGGCAGGGAAAACTTCTCTACTATAAAAGCATTTTAATGTGTTGCAACTTGCAATTTCTAAAAAAATTGAGTAGTAGAGCATCCAAGAAAGGCCAAAATTTCGAATAGTCATTAGTGCCAAAAAGAGGTGGATAAAGAAACTAAGTAGCTTAGTGGTCAATGAAGTACGTGAAAATCATGAAAAATTCTTAAGTCTTTATTCATTCTGTTTCTTGTCCTCATTTTGAAGACTGGAATTTGTAAGTCATTATTTTATGGTCTGATTCAAACATCAAAGGAGAAGCAAACAACTCCCATTTCATTGACATTTCTCTGAACCCCTTGAAAAGGACACATTTTGCATTGTTTATTTTAAGAGTCAATTTCCCATTGGCCTGATTGAAAATTTCTGAGTTAACAAATTAAAAGTCCAATTTGGCATCTTGTTAAATGCCTAATAGTAGCAGAAATGTGTAATACTTTGTTCATGTAATTCTTGTTATTCTTCATTGTTTCAATACGGGATTTTGCACAGAAGTAGATAGCATTACTAACACTCAATCTATGAGAGATCCTGGAATTTTGTCGTCGCCATATGGAATCTTCAAGTTGGTATTTTTCAGTCCTCTAAACAGTATTAATAGGTATGTTGGCATATGGTTCAATTTTTCTGAAACAATTGTCATTTGGGTGGCTAATTGTTGAGCTAGTCAGCCATGGCAGAAGAATAAGAAAGTCGGTGAAGAAGAAATAGAAGCTTCATTTTCTGTACTAGAAATGAATTGTTCTAACTAATTCTGAGAAGCTACTGTACATGTATAACTAACTTTTATTTATGCTACTAACTAATTAACCTACCCTTTTATCTACTAACTCCATCTAATTACAATGTATTAAATTAACTACTAGACCCCACAACTATTCCTTCTACACTCCCCCTCAAGCTGAGGGATGAAAACATACTCTTCATTCCTAGCTTGCAGAGTAAGTAATCATGTTGTGGAATGTATAGACTCTTGGTGAAGATATCTGTCAGTTGCTCTCTTGTACCAACATGTTGAGTTTGAATCATTCCTTCTTGAATCATTTCCCTTACAAAATGATAGTCTATGTCTATGTGTTTGGTTCTTTCGTGAAAAATAGGATGAGCTAAAATTTGAATTGCAGCTTTGCTGTCATAGTGAAGTTGAACTGGAAACTCAACTGATACTCCCAACTTCTTAAATAATCCAACCAACCACTTTATCTCCGCAACAGTAGTAGCCATGCTTCTGAACTCTGCTTCAACTGAGCTTCTTGAAACTGTTCCTTGCTTCTTTGATTTCCAGGAGATTAAGGCATCACCAAACTTTACAACATAACATGTGAATGACTTTCTTATCTCTACACAAGCACCCCATTCTGAATCACAAAAGGCAACCAGCTTTTGACTGCCAGTTGATGGTAGGAATAGCCCAAGAACAAGATTGCTTTTAATGTACCCGATAACTCTCATAGCAACATCTAGATGTGACTGCTTGGGATCATGCATGAACTGACCCAAAACCTGTACCACAAATGCTATGTCAGGTTTAGTCATGGTCAAATACAATAGTCTTCCCACTATTCTTTGATAGCCACTTCTGTCTTCAAGCAACCTGTCATCAGACAAGTTCTCCTTGTTGAACACCTTATCAAACTCTATGGAGGTAAGCTTGTGATTGAATTCCAGTGGAGTAAGTGCTGGTTTTCCTCCTAATAGACATGTCTCAGATAGCAGCTCAAGTGTATATTTCCTCTGACACATATGGATGCCTTTCTCTGATCTTGAAAACTCTATGCCAAGGAAGTACATTAGTTCCCCCAAGTCTTTTATCTTAAACCTATTCTGCAAGTCCTTTCTTGTGACGACCTGGCCGGTCGTCATAAGAATTAACGCCCCGATCCCCTATTAATTGCTTTCCCAAGTTTATTTCTGCTATTTTGATTTGCCGGGATGTTCGATTTTGAGTTTCGGGGAGTTTTGGGACACTTAGTCCCAAAATGAGAGCTTAAGTGTTAGGAAGTTGACCATAGTTGGAACAGTGTGAAGACGGCCTCGAAATGGAAATCCGACAGTTCAGTTAGCTCCGTTGGGTGATTTCGGGCTTAGGGGCGTGATCGGATTGTGTTTTGGAGGTTTGTAGCTAATTTAGGCTTGAAATGGCAAGAGTTGAATTTTTGAAGTTTGCGGTCCGAAAGTGAGATTTTGATCTAAGAGTCGGAATGGAATTCTAAAAATTGGAGTAGCTCCGTAGTGTTGAATGTGACGTGCTTGCAAAATTTTAGGTCATTCGGACGAGATTTGATAGACTTTTGATCGAAAGCATTAGTTAAGAGTTCTTGGAGTTTTTAGGCTTGAATCCTATGTTAAATTGGTAATTTGATGTTGTTGTGAGCGTTCCGAAGTTTTGAACAAGTTTGAATGATGTCATGGGATGTGTTGGTACAATTGGTTTGAAGCCCCGGGGACTCGGGTGAGTTCCGGGATATTTTAGGCCGAAAATCATAGTTGTTGTAGGTCCAGAAGAGTTGCAGGCCTCGGAACCCACCAGTGCGGTCTGTGCAAAGTCCAGTATGTCCGCGGTGGGGGCTGTGCGGCCGCACAAAATGTAGTGCGGTCCGCAGTGAGGAAAATTTCACTGGTCCTACTTCAGAAGCTCATATCTTTTGATCTGCAAGGAATTGTGGGATGATTCAAAAACGCAACTTGTAACCCTTCGTGTCTAGTTTCCAAAAAGGTAAAGAAATAAGAATTTGGACATCTGTAGAGAAAGTTATGGCCAAAATACTAAAGCCTGTCACTGTAGTCAAAACTTGTGCGAACAACACTCATTTTTGTGCGGTCCGCAGTGGTGGAAATCTGGGGGTGCCCTATAAATACGAGGTTTTGGGGTTTATTTCATATTTTGACCTAGAGAGATCGGATTTTGGCAATTTTTCGAAGGTTTTTCAAGAAATTCATCGGAATTTAGGCCATTTGGAGTTGAGTACTCGTGGCAAAGACGTGGTGTTGGGCTGATTTTGAGTCGGTTCGAGGTAAGTGGCTTGTCTAAACTTGTGTGGGGGACCTTCCCTTTAGGATTGGTATATTTGGTAATTGAAATGCCTTATACGTGAAGCGACGAGTGCGTACTTGTGCTAATTATTGGAAATCCGATTTTCTTAAGTAATTACTAGTATGTTTCCTTTCCTGTTTCTATTTCTTGCACTATTAAGCATGTTGTTATCTTAGGAAGGTATGTCTAAGTGACTTAATTGTTTTAATGGATTCTACGTGCCTTACTTAAATTCTGTGCAACATGCTAGGCTAGAATCACTTATTGCCTTAATATGAAATTTTGTCATTTCTGTATACCTTCCTGCTGCTACTGTGTATTTATTTTGGGACTATGGATGTGGGATTCTGGTAGCTCCCCCTTGTCTGTTTACTTTGGGACTATGGGTTAGATTCCTATTAGATTTCCCTGCACATTTACTTTGGGACTACGGGTTAGATTTCCGGTAGATTCCCTTGCACAGTTATATGGAACTACAAGAATGCACCTGGTAGATTCTTCCAGTACTGGGTATTTACATTTGGGACTATGGAACGGAATTCTGGTAGATCCCCGCACACTGTGAGTTGGACTACGGGACGGTATCCCGGGAGATTCAGTGTATATGTAAAGATGGGACTACAGGACGGTATCTTGAGAGATCCCCGATTGTTACTATTGGTGCTCAGCTGTATTCCCTTTTCATGTTAACTTGTTCTGTATAGTTATTGTTGTTCTGTTCATCCTGTGTTATTTTACTGCTGTACTTATTTATATTGTTCCATCCTATACTGTCGATCTTTATATTTTATTTAACCTCAGTAGGGCCTTGACCTTCCTCGTCACTACCCAACCGAGGTTAGGCTTGGCACTTACTGAGCACCATTGTGGTGTACTCATACCTCTTTTGTGCATGTTTTTCATGTGCAGATCCAGGTACCACTGATCAGGTCTACTATCCTTGAGAGAGGCGACCGCTCTAGAGACTTCGAGGTACATCTGCTGCGTCCGCAGACCGAGAAGTCCCTTTCTATTCCTACTTTTAGTATTTAGCCCTTCTGTACCTTCCTGTTCTTATTAGACATTCTAGAGTTAGAGATATGTAGTATTGATCTTAGCTTGTGATTTCATGGGTTTTCGGGTCTTGGATTTATGTTTGGTATTGAGAGTTAAATGTGGTGTAAGCCGAGCGGCACATTTAAATACTATTGCTATTTTATTTCTATTTTAAATTATTTACTTCCGCAAAATTTTTAGTTTTTCTTCTGCAAAATAAGTTTACCTAGTCGTAGAGACTAGGTGCCGTCACGATAGTTCACGGAGGGTGAACCGGGGTCGTGACATTTCTAGCCTTCTCAATCAAGTTTAGATTATTGTCAGTCACAAGCAAATCATTAACATAGAGAAGCACAATCACCAAATCTACTCCCTTCTTGTGTATGAACAAAGAATAGTTATAATGTGACTGTACAAATCCTAGATTTGTTAATGCTTCTGTCAACTTTAAGTTCCACTGTCTAGGAGCTTGTTTAAGTCTATATAAGGACTTATTTAACTTGCACACCTTCTGATACTCCCCCTGGCTTGAAAAGCCATCAGGAATTTGCATATAAAATTTTTCACATAGATCTCCTTGCAAAAATGCATTATGAACATCCATTTGAAACACAGACCAATGCGAAGCAACAGCAAGAGCCACTATAGACCTTACTGTGGCCATCTTAGCTACAGGGGAGAATGTTTCAGGGTAGTCCAACCCTTGTTGCTGGCTGTAGCCTTTGGCAACCAGCCTTGCTTTATACCTTTCCACTTCTCCTGTGGACTTGTACTTGACCTTGAACACCCACTTTGCAACCTATAGGAACTTTGTCTAGAGGAAGGTCTACAATTGTCCAAGTATTATTGCTCTCAAGAGCTGAAATTTCAGACTTCATAGGATCCACCCATAATGGATCAATACTGGCTTCAGTATAGGTCTTGGATTCTACAATTGCTGAATAAGAAACTAAAGAAGACATGTAGGCAAGAGTGAGATGGTCATATATCACATAGTTGGACAGTGGATATCGGCATGACGATTTCTGTTGAACAACATAATCTTCCATCCATACATGACACCTTGATTCCCTTGAGGATCTTCTAAGTTGTACTGGTTGAGGAGAAGGATCCCTGGCAGGAGATGATGAAAAAGGTTGAGAAGCAGAAGTGAAGTTTAAAGGAGAATGCAACGGAGCAGACACAACAGAAGAATCAGGAGGATCAGGTTCAACCAGTTGCACTACAGGGAATATAGAAGAAAGACCAGTGTTCATATGCTTGAAGGGAAAGATGTCTTCTTGAAAGACAGTGTCTCTGCTTACAAAGAACTCCTTGGAGGTTAGGTCATAGAGATAATATCCTTTCTAAGTTGTGGAACATACAAGGTGGAGTGCTGGAATTGCTCTTGCACTAAACTTATCACCCCTCTTGACAGTGGTAACATAACTTTCCTATATTATGTGTATAATTTACCATATCTGAAAATAATAATGGTAACTATCCAAAATTATACTTATAAAATTTTTATTAAAATATTCCACTTAAAACAAAATACCACACTAATATAATATCTAACAAAAACCTTTGGACGAAATTATGTCCTGATATTAGTTTTCTTCCATTATAAAAATATTTTTCAGCAAATCAAAAATAACAACTGCCTTATCACCTCTATAAAATCTCAATTTTTATTTATAATACCTTTTATGCCTATCAATAATGCCAGTCTTTATGACTCGCCAGATCGCTACTGCTCTACTATCACCTACTTAAAATGCTTCTTATAAAATACTCTCGTTAATTCCTTCGATCTCATGTGGATTTACTACGGCACATCCTAATGCTGAGGTGCGGGATGTAACATCCTTCTCCCCTTTAGAAACATTCGTCCACGAATGTTAACTCTTTGAGATTTTTCAAAACTTTCGCTAAGGTCTTCTCTGTATACTAAACTAAAACTCCCTCTATATAAGCTCTGGACTATTCACAACCTTTTGTAATTGAGTATCTTATATCTTTTTCACCTTTACCTTACTTACTTTTCAAGCTCACATCGTATCTTCTATTTTTTTCATAACTTCCCTTCCATATAAATGAAAATTTCGCCTTAAAGCTCTACTGTGATACCTTCACTTCTAGTGCATACAAAATCTGGTAAAAGCTTCACACTAACTTCTTACGGTTTAGCTCAATGGCACGATCCGGAAACAAAAGAAGGGTAACATTTCCTAAATGTCCTATAGCATCTCAATTATAAATGTGGCGCACAACACACCCATAAGTAAGACTCTACTAGGCACGGGTTTGTAGACTCCCTAAGACACGACCCACTCTAATACCACTTTTGTCACTCCCCAAACCTGGGGAGGCGTGGTTAGAACCCGGTGCCGCACTGACCTGAGCAAACCACTCTGCAAATCTTTTTTTTCTTTCTTTGTAACTATCACGGGCAAACATGGCCACAACTCGTAATGTATAACTATAAGTGGGCAACATTGTATCAATAAACTATCGTTCTTAAAATATGAATACATATGGACCATCAAGGCCTCTGACATAATGTACAAAATGAACTTCTGTCTACAAAGCCTCTAAAATTATTTGACATCAAATGGGACAGGGTACCATCCTACCCATAAGTCTGTAGAAAACTTCTGAAACGATGACTTACAGACACAACTGTACTTCAAATAAGGTGGAGTCTTACCGATCATTCGCTGAATGCCAATCTCGTCTACTACGAGGGCTCTTCAAATTGATTATCTACATCTGCAGGCATGAATGCAGCGTCCCCAACAAAAGTACGTCAGTA